CAAGATTAATGATAATATAACTCTCTCATTTAGTTTTCCACTAAAAATGGAGGTTACAAGAAGAGGAAAAATATTTTTTAACTACACATTCCCTCAAATCCGAAATTACTCTTATTTTCTCTAAAAAAATATTTATGTTAAGTAAAGTTTGAAAGAATAGCAAGGGTGTGAAGGGAAAATTGCACACTTTAATCAAGGAAAAAGATTTTTAAAAGAATAAGAGATGAGCATATTTCTAAACGTTTCGGTGCCATCGGGAAGTAACAACCATCATCCAACATTATACTTTCAAAAGTTTTTAATGAAGGTAGGTAGATGTGCAAGTGTTTGTTTCGTTTTCAAATTATGATTTCCGTTAAAAGTTTGAATGAATTGGTGCATTCGGGTTCGGTGTTACGACACTACTATAATTTGAATGATCATATTCCAGTTATATGTGTTATGTTAATTCATAACTCCACAGAAATTGGATTTTGCCGGAAATCCAACTACGTGTGACGGAATAATCTATAGTTTGAAAATGTTAATTTGACAACGAAATGCACTAATGATATCTATTGAGTTTCAAACTCATGGGTTAATTCCCTTCTACGGGTTGATTGGTTTTTCTTGGGGGCGTGGATGATGGTAGAGGATGATACAACATGCTATGGAGAAAGCCGGTAACTTAATAACTTTAAATTCGATTATAAAATGTTCACGTTGTTTCTTAAGAATTTCTATGGATGTCATGCGTGGAACTATGCTAAGAGTATTTTTCCTTTCTAAGAATAAATTATGTTTGGAAGTAGATATGTGTCACAGAAACTAATTTAAATATTATTGTTTACAGAAGAAAAGAGTTAGCGATTTTAAAGTTTTGCTGTCTCTTTTAAAATCTCAATTTTATGCCCTTGGTTCCAAAAATTTATATCTCACTCATTCACTTGAATTTTTTGGACGAAACTAATTGGATATGATAGCATTACCTGTTAGCTACTAAATGAACTCGAAATCATGTCAATCCAATGTCGGTAAAATTTTATACATCACTTGAAAGTAAGCTGCACTGAGTATGGATGCTGTTTTCAGCTTCTGCCTTTGATTTCAAAAATCCATAACTCAAACGTTACTCGGAATTTTTATACAAAACTAGTAGGATTTGATAGCCTCATGAGTCATTATTGAATAGATCTAGAATCATGTCATTTCAATATGTTTAGGATTTTATATAGCACTTAATGTAAATTGTGCTGAGTTACTTTCCAAACTTAGTCACCGTGGGGTTTTGGAAAATATTTTACCATTTGTTGCCACGGAAGTTGATTTTTGGACATGTCATACTATAAGAAGTTTTCTACTTTACATTAAAATTTCATGAAGTTTTGAAGTCGATAGCTATGCAAATGAATTTATTTTGTCATTTGTCACTTAAGATAGAAAACAAACCATCAAGTTTTATTTTTTAAAGTTTTGCCAAAAATTTGACGTCAATTATGGATGTATGCATGGGAAATATTCTAAAGACATTTTTGAATTGTCTCTTTTGGTACTGAAATATTCTGTCTTGAAGGAAAAAAAATAAAGTCTTGATATTAAATTCTTAGGTTAAATTTTTATGTCTTCCGCTAAAAGTATACTTAATTATTTTACTAAGTCTACGGTCTACGGGTAAAGTAAAGTTAATCTGGTGAGATTTCGATCCATGCGGGTTGGGGAGTTACAGCGTGGTATTAGAGCACGAGTTTAGTCGATTCTGTAGACTTAGTGTATTAAAAAAATGAAATATTTAAGGCACTACATGGCATCTTGCTTCCATCAGTTGACCTCATCCGACGAACCCAAGGTATGGAGTAAAACATTATGTTCCACTTTAATTTTGAGCATGATTTATAAATCTTTTAAACTTGAAACTATGAAATGCTTATGATATCTAGAATGAAATTAGTTATGTAAGTTATATTTTGTTAGACATGCATGAAGAAAAGATGATTGGTCATTTTATAAAAATAAAAATTGTATAATTTGATATCACTAATAGAGATGCAACATAATTGGACACTTATGTGACAGACATGGTTAGAATTTACCAAACTGCTAGAAAGACCACAGTTTGTAGAGCAGCGTTGAACTGTAGGGCCGTCATTCAGTCCAATGAGGACTACGTGACTGGCCCGTCCTGTCCACTTGTCGAACATGTACATGACATCTATGGCAGATGTGGATGCCGGATTGGAGATCATGCTTATTGAGGCTGTGAATAACCTCATACACTTACTTCTACCTCAATGGGGAAACATGAGAATTATGGTTAGGGACGAGATACTAGAGGGTAACCCTCCAAAACACCTAAACACGATTGAATTTGAGGTAGATTATCGACCCTTCTAGACAGGTGGAACAAGAGCTTAGAATCTCAACCAGAGACAATAATTGAACTCGATGATGAGGTTAAGCCCGAGCCCAAGGAAGAACTTTTGTCCGAATCTGATCCAGAGGAAGATCCCGAATGGGAGCACGGGGATGGTTTTGGGTTGAAAATAGAGAATGGTCATAAGCATGAACCTGAGCCACAGGTTGAGATGGAGATAGAGTCCGGGCCTGAGGCAGAAGACACCTCCAAAGATGAAGCACCGCCAAAGAAGATTCACAAAACTCATAGGGATTAGAGACTTAGATTTCATTTCCTTGTGATATTTTCCTTTATGTTATTGGAAGTTAAAATTTATCGAATTATTGTAAATCCTGTTTCCCAGGAGTTAAAAAAAAAAAAATCAATTTTGATCAAGTTGAGAAATAATTTTCTTATATAATTTTTTTCCTACTTCAATATTGGAAAATGAAGTTAATGAGAGATATTATATCTTATCTCTAGGGAAATGTCTCGAGCAAACCCGAACAATTTGATAAGGGACCTCCTACAAGCGGTTCAATATCTTGGCATGCAGAATCAGAATCAAGCCCCACCTTTACCACCAGCTTATGTAGCTCACCCGACCCATACCTCGATTGTTGAGTTATTTAGCAGGCATAAGCCCCCTACTTTCGATTGAGCATCTGGTCCACTGGTAGTTGAGGAATGGCTTCGTAAGTTGGAACGACTTTTT